ATGACGCAGGATGCAGTTTGCTGCAGCCAACGGGCACCGTGACCATCACGTTCGCTTCTAATGTTTTGCCGGACCACGTCGATCTTCATGGTTGGCGGTTCGTGGTAAATCAGTATATTCCACCAGTGAAGCAGAGCTACAACTGTCTGAGGTATGGCCACTTAGCAAAGTACTGTAAAAATTCTGTGAAATGCTCAATTTGTACTGAAAATCACAGCTACAAAGATTGCCAAGTCTTTTCAGATAAAGCGATATGCATACATTGCAAAGGCTCAACCACGTAATTTTTACAGTCGTGCTGTGACTCTTTTCTTTTATATATTGGGACAATCACGGTTTTTCACCAGTCTTCCGGTACTCGCTACAGTTGCCAACATAAATTAAATAAGGCGTACAGCAGGCCTGTCATCACTGCCTCTCCAGCCCTTAGAATTTCGAGTGATTCTCCATCATATTGGACTGCCTTACCTGCTTTTCATTGCTTTCATGATTTCATCTATACTTATCTCCCTATCTCTTTCCCCTTTTTTCAATTTCTATTTCATTTAATTGAAAAGTCTCCTCACTCATAGATTATAGCTAAAGATTATGCAAACAATCTAAAGCTCCGCACAACGGGTAGAACGAGATATACTAACAATGCTGCGTGGTTAAAGGGTATATATATAAACTACACTACTGGTAAGCTGAAAAGGCTTGTTTTGCAGTGGTTCACGATAGTAGTCGAATGGCGCATTCAAACTCACAAGTTTTTAAGTTCGCGGTTCGCAGCCTGCCATTACGCTACTTCGCTTACTTCACTGTATTCTCCTTATTCTATCTCATTCAGGCCAAATATAATATGAATATAAGTATAATATGTATCTTTCTTTCTAGTATCGCTTTTTCGTTTCATTGAGTTTCAAGTCACAATAAATCTAATGAAGTTTCATTTCCAAAATGTCCATTAATGATACTCAATGTACCCATACAAAAATACTCCCGTTATGCAAGTTTAATGTGGCAATTACTCTAGCGATAGTGTGCTTACTGATGGCATTTTTTTTTATAATTGTGTCCTCCTTCTCCTTTGTAACGTAAAGTCGTTACGGAGAGATATTTTTCTACTTGAATAATTTTAATACATTGAGTTAGCTAAGTTCGAATAAAACTACTTTTACGGATTTTATCGCGTTTAATTAAGTTATTTTGTATTCCTGGCGATAAAATCCGTCAAAGTAGTTTTATTTAATGTGTAGTGTTTGCGTAAATATAAGAAATCATTAGCGAAGTTCGTAAAGAAAAGGATGATACTTCGGGTGTGTAGATATGAACAAATTCGAGTCACGAACACCCCATAACTCAAAAATTATTAAGCCTACAAAATTCTAAATTTGCATACCTAATAAGGTCCCCGAGAATACCCATGACCCAAATTAATGTCTGAAAAGTGCCATTTATATATCTACTCATTTATCAAAAACCTAATCCACTTCTTAATTAATTAGAAACTTGACATTTGACGCCAAGGATCAATATGAATATTCAAAGTTAAAATTCAAAAAACAAAAAATTAACGATATTCGTTCGGTTCGGTTACCTTCAAGGACTGTACTTGAAACTAACCTTAGAGTGCTCCAGAATGACTTTTACATTTATGTTTTAATTCGACTAATTCCACATTCATCATAGAATCGAACACGTGATACCCGACACAGTAACGGGCAGTAGTTCAAAGTTCAACATGCAATGTACTGGATTCACTTATCACGAAATTATAAATAGGGAACTAACGCGATCTTTTCATGAGTCACACGGTTCGGCGTTAAACACAACTAAGTTCCTTTATTCGATACTAAAAACTACGCCGCGTAAAGAATTCAAATTCCGCCTCGTTGATACGTAAAACGAACAAAACAGTTAACAAACAAAAAAGAGCACTTAACGCGACGGCACAATTACTTACAAAGAAGTTACTTTAATTAGTCAAACACAATACAAGCCTCCTGTCAAGAACTTAAACCCTAGACAACCTAACACGAGGCGGTTTTCACGAAACACAATTACGTAGCGAAGTCACGCGTACAATTCTAAAAATCGAGACCGTAAACCCTAAAATTGGTCGCGCGAAACCTCGGCAGCGGCAACCGAGGTATGCTAACATGCAATATTTCTCGGGAAAACGTCGCTGAGTACCGGAAAAAACTTGTGTCTGAAGTTGAGTCTTTGCTGAACAAAGTCTCGGATTGGGGGCGACTAAATCTAGTCCAGTTCCTCAGAAGACAAAAGTTTGCGCGTTTACCGCTAAAAAGAACCACTTTGTCATATCTCCTCAGTTTTAAGGCACTCCCCTTCTTGCCTCAGCCAGTATCGGTATCCTCGGAGTCGACATATCGGGTGACGTGCAGTTTCGTGATCACTTGGAAGAGAAGGCCAAATTGGCCTCTAAAAAGCTTGGCGTGCTCAGCAGAGCGGAACAGTATTTCATGCCGGCACACCGCCTGCAACTTTACAAGGCGCAGGTTCAGCCTCACATGGAATACTGTTCCCATCTCTGGGCAGGGGCTCCCCAGTGCTAGCTCCTTCCACTTGACCGCATCCAACGCAGAGCGGCTCGAATCGTCGACAACCGAGCCCTTTCCGATCGGCTCGATTCATTGGCACTGCGAAGAGATGTTGCATCCCTTTGCATTTTCTTTCGCATGTACCATGGGGAGTGCTCTGAGGAATTGTTCAGATTAATCCCAGCCGCCAAATTTCACGAACGCACATTGCGTCAGAACTCCCGATACCACCCACACTATCTGGATGATTGGCAGTCCACCACTGTGCGATTTAGAAGATGTTTTCTTCCTCGCACAACTTCCTTGTGGAATAGTTTACCACCAGCGATTTTTCCGGACCGATACGACTTAGGGACCTTCAAGAAAAGAGCCTACTCCTTTTTAAAAGGCCGGCAACGCATCTGCGATTCCCCTGGTGTTGCAGTTGTTCATGGGCGGCGGTAGTCACTTACTATCAGGTGAGCCGCATGCTCGTTTGCCCCCTCTCCTATAAAAAAAAATATAGAAGGTCCCTATGATGTATAAGCATTATGTTAACAGAGTTATGACTTGAAGTCCCATATGTACAAGACATACAATATTATGGTCTATAAAATAAAGCGAATATGTGGAAGGTCTCAAATATGTAAAAGCATTATATTGAAAGAAATGGGACTTGATAAGGATTATTATAATGGCGTGTAGATTGTCTCCGAGACCGAGGTAAACTTGGACTCGCTAACCGATGTGTCATAGACATATCATCTTAGTGTCGGTGGTAAGCGTGTTTTTTGTAGCAATACGACTTGCCCGTGGACATCGCATGCCCCTACCGTTTGTGGGCGGCGTCTTAGCGCATAGCGTTATGATACGTCGGCTATCTTTCGGATTTGGTAGTACTTTTTTTTTTAATTTATTTCAACAATGTAACAGCTTTAATTACCATAATTATAATTTCTTCGTGCCATTAAACACAATATGTTTGTCTTGGCACTGCACAGTTTGCTCTAATATGTTATACATTATACTTTATTTTACATAATATTGAACTTAACCTTTACTTAACCTAAATATAAAATACCATATTACAATTGTGTGAGAGAATATTAAGCGTTTTTTGTACTTACATAATTTTATACAAACTTTATATTAGATATTTCTAAAACTATTTTTTTTTTATGGAGAGGGAAGTTTTTGATATTGTTTACAAGAAATAAGCAAGAATGTGAATATTATTGTCTTCGATTGTTCGACTCGCTTATACACTATACTGCAAATTAATTACGCGCGTACACACGGAATGCATTTTTAAGGACTAGTTTTTTTTTTCTCTGGTTACACGTTTTGTTTATTTGTCCGTTTTTGGCAATATAATTGCATAGATAAATATAGATTATCATGATTATTATTTAATATTTTTTTTTTGAAGAATTCTAATTATATAAAAAACGTTTAAGTTTTGTTTTTATGTTTTGTGCTGTTAGTTGGCTAGTTATTTTTTTAATTGATTGACATTTACTGTAGCACTCCATAAATTTATTTTTGATAAAGTTGTTTATACTAATAGGGCATTGCATATAATTAACCGGTGACCAGTCTATTTCGTTTAGCATTGTATGAAGCTTTTTATTATCATATAAAATAATATTTTCGAATTCATCCCGTGTGAACGAAACAGGTGCGACGCATGCAAGCACAGTCATGCGATGATCTGCTAATACAGTACCAATAGCGCCAGAGTATAAGTCTAACGTACGCGATCGCACAAAGATGTGATCTATACAACTTTTAGTTATTTTGTCTTTTCTTTTTTCTATTCTGGTGTAATCTGTTATCGCACACGTTAGACCGTGCTCAGCTATTTTACTTAAATAATATTCTTGAATAGGTGTAATGCATTTAATGTTAATATTCATATCACACAGGATGATTAAGTTATGTTTTTTAGCGAAATTATCTTTTATTATGTGACACAGCTCTTTTATAAACAAGTGTTTGTTCTCGTTCGGTGGTCTATATATTATACAAAGATGGAATGTTTGCATATTATAGGTGGTAATTTTGCTTATAAGTGATTCACAGTGTAATGTTTTTATAGGTATAATTTCAAACTTATGGTTCTTACGTACATATACAATTATCCCACCCCCCCTTCTTTTAGTTCTTAAGATACTATGCGTTGTATAGCCATCGATATTAAACATAGATAGTAAATTATTAGATATATTGGCTTCCGTTATGGCAATGCAGTCTAAATTTACTTTACTAGAATTTATACATTCCTTTAGCATTACAAAGTTTTTTATCATAGACCTTAAGTTAATATGAATAAAAGTGAAACTTTTTTTACCTTTGGGTAAAAATTTGTAAAAATCATTTAAATTAATACAGTCGTATATTTCCGAAACGTTCGTAAAAGAATCCATTATGGTTGTTATTAATATTACTTATATTTATACTTAATGCTGAGTTTTGCACTTAACTGATTACTTCCTTTACTTCCGTATTATGAGAAATGATTCGTTTTGTTAGTCTTTGGATGTCATCGATGCACCTGATAGTTATGGTCTTGTCTTTGTCTTCTTTTCGAGCGAAAATTTTTCCATTTTTAAACCAAATGTATTTGTATTCTGAACCTAAATGTTTTTTTGCATTCCACAAAATTGTTTTATTTGATTTTGTGAGTGCACGTCTCAACATAATTCTATCCTTACCCTCATCATATTTCATAGTTGCATTAGGAAGAATATCATTCACTTTTAATACCTTCATTTTTGCAGCTTGTATCCACTTCTCACTCTCTGTTTCATCTTTTAATTCCAGTAGCAGATATCCATCCTTTCCTTTTCTTCCTTCTACTTGTGTTAAGCTTTTAATTGAACTCGCATCCATATCTAATTTGGATGCTAATATTGTAGTAATCTTATTATGATTAATGCCATCAATACCCGATATACCAGTTATTTCAATTCTGTTATTATATTGCTTTTGTTCCATTTCTCCTATCTTTTGTTCTAGAGCACTTATTCTTATTTCCAAATTATTATTCTTGTTGTTTAATGCTAGATTTTTGGTTTCTAATTCTTTAATTCTGCTTTTTAGAACATCCATACTTTCTAGCACCTCATCTAGTTTATCGTGACAGTAACTTATAGAAGATTCGATTGGTTCTAGTTCTCGCTTTATAGTAACTTCAACTTCCTTTGAAATATCCTTTAATAACTTTTTAATGTCTATTGATGGCTTAGAATGCGAATTATCTTGAGTTTGTTGATTTTGTTCCACTTTTTCTTCTTCTTCTGGGATAATAAACGACCTTCTTACAGGAGTGTATCGTTGACATTCCTTGCAGGTCCATTCCAGGCTATCTGCGTTACGTAATGCTGCAATCTGTTTAGTTGAAAGATTAGTACAGGCTTGAGTCGCGTGCACAATTTTTTCGCATTTGCTGCATTCTAAGCCGGGAGTTCTTTTAGTTATCGGTTTTTCACAACAATCACATTTACTCATTGTAATGTCGGTATAACGACTTTTTTAACCACACGTCCGATCGGTAACACTGTCAATGCAAACTCTTTTTTAAGTGCAGCAAGCATACTTAGAGCAATAGCGCTATGATACGTGGAGTACTGGCTACTGACGTCTTAGTACCGTGCTACTATCATATGTTGGTGATATTTTCAGTTAACAACTTTATCAATTTTGATACCAAAGTCGCTAGGGATCATGTGGGTGTGTTGTGAGGGGGCGCTGTGGCGCACCACCTGCAACAATACTAAATACACAATAATATACATTATAACATACACAATAAAATACATAAAAATACACAATTAAATAACACATTAATAAACACACAAACAAATTTCAATTCCCACAAATACACTCGTCGCACATTATATATTACATTTTTTTATTATTTATTAATATTACATAAAGTTGACTTACCTATCTCTTCACGAGAAGTATCCCGCGGTGCGCCGGAGCATAGCAACAGGCGAGCCGCTCACCAGTAACGCGTCAACTTCCCTACGTTAAACCTGTGTCGCTCGCTGCTAGTTACTGACTACGTATATTTCGTGCCGAACTTAATTAGTGTTGATTATCTGGCGTAAAGTTGTAAAGGATTGTGTGTCCGTAATAAATAAATTCATACAGTGATTACGAACATTTTATTTATATGTGAAGGGACCTTAATTACATATAGGTGTATATAGGATAGCAGACCATAATCTACATACTGGTGACCCCGACTACGCAAAGAAGATCTAAAGGTACCAAATTACATTTACGAAAACTTATTTACTTACCTTAAAGAGATGTCAAGGGCACGAGATACTAATCTAACTAAGGAAACAATCCCGACGAAAAATGATGAAACTGAAAATTTGCAGCCAGCTATGGAATTATTTCGTGTCGGTGTTAAGGTGCCACCATTTTGGCCGGATCGCCCCGCATTGTGGTTTGCCCAACTAGAGCGACAATTCGTATTATCAGGGATAAATTCGGATACCACAAAATTTTATTTTGCATGCAGCAATTTAGACCACCAATATGCGGTTGAAGTGGGTGACATAATCGAAAATCCACCCAAAGAAAATAAATACGAAACTCTTAAGGGTGAACTGATCCGCAGACTCTCGGCGCCTCGTGAAGAGGAAATAAAACAGTTCCTGAGCAGCGAAGAGATGGGTACCAGAAAACCGTCACAGTTTTTACGCCATCTTCAGCATCTCGCTGGGCGAAACATCCCAGAAGAATTTGTTCGCACGACATGGTATAACAGGCTACCACCAAACATACAGCCGATTATCGCGTCACAATCCGATATGCCTATGGACAAATTGGCTGAACTAGCTGATAAGATTCTAGCAGTAGCAGCACCAACACCTCAAATCTCAGAGGTAGCCCCTTCTACATCATGCTCTGTCAATCAAACTTGGATAGCAATGGAAGCCATGGCAAAACAAATATCTGAGCTCACTAAACAAGTGGCAGCATTGAGTGCCAGACAATCTCGTCCACAGGGGAGACGTTTTTATAGAAGAAAGTCACGATCTCGTTCCAAATCTCAAAACAGGAATGGTATCTGCTACTACCACAATAAATTCGGAAGCAATGCATATAAATGCACAACGCCATGTAGTTTTCAGCAGGGAAATGTCAACGGCAGTCACTAGTGGCGGAGAAGGACTGCCTTGATGAGTGCAACGGCCGCCTCTTTATCGTAGAACGGAAAACGAAGATGGAATTTCTCGTCGATACCGGTTCTGACCTCTGCGTTTTTCCGAAGACCGCGACCGCAGGGTACCGCACGAAGACAAAATTCGAGTTATTCGCGGCAAACAACACCACTATATCGACATATGGTTACATTCATCTTCATCTAGATTTCGGCCTGCGAAGGGATTTGAACTGGAGGTTTGTCGTGGCTGATGTGACGAAACCCATACTCGGTGTAGATTTCTTAAGCCACTACAATTTACTCGTAGACTGTCGTCACCATCGCCTATAGATGGACTTACAAGCCTTTCCGTGGCTATAGCACATCGAAACAGCTTTAAAGAAGAAATCGTCTCTATTAAAGCAGTATCTGGGAACACCCCATACCACACCTTGCTAAAACAATATCCAGAAATAACAAGACCTGCCGGTGCTCCCATTGAACCAAAACACAGTACAAAGCACCATATTCGCACAACTCCCGGACCACCGGTGAATTCACGTCCACGCCGATTAGCTCCAGATCGCCTAAATATAGCAAAGAAGGAATTTGAAGAAATGCTATTTAACGGAACAGCGCGCCGATCGGAAAGCCCATGGTCGTCCCCGCTACACCTAGCGCGAAAGAAAGATGATGGTTGGCGTCCGTGTGGTGACTATCGAGCTCTTAACGCGAGAACAATTCCTGACCGTTACCCAATCCGACACATCAACGACTTTGCTTACCAGCTGGCCGGAGCAAAAATATTTTCTAAAGTCGATTTAATATAGGCTTATAACCAAATTCCAGTAGAGAAGAACGACATACCCAAAACAGCCATCACCACTCCGTTCGGCCTGTATGAGTTCCCCTTCATGAACTTTGGGTTAAGGAACGCAGCTCAAACGTTCCAAAGGTTCATCGATGAGGTTACACAGGGCATGGACTACGTATACGGATATTTGGACGACATTCTGGTATTCTCGAAAACGGAGAAAGAACACTTAAATCACTTACAAAATCTGTTTGATAGATTCAAGAAATACGGCATACTTATTAATACATTTAAGTGCATATTTGGAGTACCGGAAGTTACTTTCCTGGGTTATCACGTGTCTTCCGAGGGAACACGACCATTGCCCGAAAAGGTGGAAGCTATTCACAAACTCGACCCACCTAAAACCGCTAAACAACTGCGAAGGTTCCTAGGAATGGTCAATTATTATCGGAGGTTCATCCCTCATGCCGCAGAATTACAATACCCTTTAAATGAGGCCTCGACAGGAAAGAACAAAGGAGCCACGCCTATAAATATGACTGATAAAATGTTGCGTGCCTTTCATCAATGCCAAGAAAGCCTGACTCACGCTACACTTCTGTCACATCCAGATGTACAGGCAGAACTAGCGTTGTTTACAGATGCTTCAAATGAAGCGATCGGAGCTGTACTGCAGCAAAAAAGGCAAGATAACATATGGCAGCCTTTGGGATTTTTCTCACGAAAGTTGTCACTACCCCAAAAGAAGTATAGCCCGTATGCTAGGGAACTCCTAGCTATTTACGAAGCGATAAAACATTTTAAATATATGCTGGAAGCTAGGAACTTTGCCATTTATACAGACCATAAACCAATTTCATACGCTTTCAAAACAAGAAGGGATAATTGTTCACCACGGCAATACAGATATTTAGATTATATATCACAATTCACCACAGATATCAGATATATTGCGGGTAAAGAGAATGTTGTCGCCGACGCACTTTCAAGAATAGACGAAATCACGGAAGCAATAAATTATGAAGCCCTTGCACGAGATCAGGAGATCGACCTTGAACTGCAAGGTTTACTGAAAAACGAAACAGGTCTTAGAATAGAGAAATTACCAAATAGCAATCTCTATTGCGACGTATCAACTGGAAAAGTTCGTCCTTACATTACGCCAAAGTTCCGTAAACAAGTCTTTCAAAAGATGCATGAACTAAGTCACCCAGGCACCGCAGCAACGACTAAGCTAATCACAGAAAGATTTGTGTGGCCTCGTATAAAACGTGACTGCAAAATTTGGACCAAACAGTGCACAGATTGCCAACTATCTAAAGTAACCCGTCACACTTCCGCTCCATTGTCCAATTTCCCCATTCCTTCAAAACGTTACTCCCAAGTCCACATTGACTCAATTGGCCCTTTGCCATATTGTAATGGTTTCAGGTACTGCTTAACTGCTATCGACCGTTTCACTCGCTGGACAGAGGTCTACCCATTACCAGACATAACTGCTGAGTCTTGCGCCAAAGATTTCGTCTCCGGCTGGGTGTCACGTTTTGGCTGCCCGGAAACAATAATTACGGACAGAGGTCAGCAATTTCAGTCACATCTTTTTCAAAGCCTGACAAAACTCATTGGTTCAGAACACCGCCCCACCACGTCATACCATCCACAGTGCAATGGAATGGTGGAGAGGCTTCATCGCCAACTAAAAGCAGCAATCACATGTCACAACACACCTCAATGGACTGAAGCACTTCCATTAGTGCTCTTGGGAATGCGTGCAGCGTGGAAAGAAGACCTAACCGCGTCGGCAGCAGAAATTGTATATGGTGAACCTATTAGACTACCAGGAGAATTCTTCATGCCATCAACGAAAGATCCGTCAGACTACGTTGAACGCCTGCGTAGACATACTGTCGATTTGGCTCCAGTACCAGCGTCAAACCATAATAAAAATAAATCATTTTATTTACCTAAAGACATCTGGACATCCAAATTCATATTTCTGTGCCGTGGCCCAGAGAA